GCTATAAAAGGAGCCTTAGGTCCCACTGGACCATTTGTCAATCAACCGTCGTGTGATGTAGAACTCTAAGAGTCAAGTCAGCTTGAGCTACAGCTACTCCAAAGCAGTGAGCAGCGGGCGCATTCCTCAAAATTGTTTTATGTCTTCATCACAATACAAGAATTTTGAGATTTGTATTTCCTTTCTCCAATGGAAACTGTCTTCATTTGTGGCGGTAAATTTGAGATCGAAGTAGGTGGTTCGCACGTTACCTCATGCCACCATGTTGGTGGAAGTAAACAGTAGATATCTCATTAGCTCCTTTTGTTCGTCTACCAGCATTTAAATATGACCCGCACACGTCAACGGTGAGTGACAAATGAGCCAAGGTCTTCCTGGGGAAGACTTCCTTATATAGCGCGCCTTCGTGTTTAAGGAGGCAGCAAGGTATGCAGATGAGATGGGTCTCCAGTTGCAGCTGGAATACCCAAGTCCAGCTTGCATAAAACGTGATAGTGGAGAGGTGATAACAGCAGAGAAATTGAAGGTAGAGCTGAGAAGGGTTTTGGAAGAGAAGACATGGGAAACGGTGCATGAGCAGAATTGGCTGGGGAAATTACTCTGCGAGAAAAGAAGACGAGAGTCTTAACTTCAACGGATGTTATTGGTGGCTAAGCAGTTCGAAACAGTGCCCAACACATACAGTGGCGGGGATCTTTGATCTCTGTGAACAATTATTACCGACGAGGTTGTATGCCTGCCAGAAAACCCACACAGACACAACGGGTGAGGTGAGGTGCAAGTTATGTGGTAAGGCCCCTGAAAGTGTCGCTCATGTCTTGGCTGGTTGTACCGCCCTCGCACAGAATAAGTATCTTACCCGACATGACACAGCCTTGAAAATACTTTTCTTTGAAATTCTGCACGGCCTAGGCCTTGTAGACACAGTCCCCCCTTGGTACTCGCCATTGAAACCGAAGCCATTGTACGAGGCGAGCAATGCGCAAGCATTCTGGGACGTTCCTTTATTTGCGGAGCACCAAGAAGTTAGAGCCAACAAAATAGATGCGCGTATTATCGACCATGAATCAAGACGAGTCATCACGCTGGAGATGAGCTGCCCATGGATTACAAATAGGGGGAAAAAGAATGAGGAAAAAACCTCGAAATACGGACCG